ATGTACCGACTTACCTTTTATTCGGGGGTTGTTTTGTTATTTTTCTTTTGTTTTTTGCATTAGTTTTATTTATTTCAATTTTTGTTCCTTTCAAAAACGACCTCCAATAGTTTTTTAATTTTTTTAATTAATAGATTTTATTATATATTAATTTAATTAATTAGGGGGGTCAGAAATTGCAATTAAAATCTTAATTTTTTAAAAATATTAAAAAATATCCCTGTCGGTCATATTCACCCTACTTTAAACCCTTCTCCTCCCGAGACGTCTATGAGAATGTCCCGGGAAATACCACACCAGCTGTTCTCAAGGTCATCCAGCTGTGTAAACAATGACTCATTGGTGTCAAATTTCGCAGAAAGGCGAGACAATGGAAAATAAAGTTTGAAGCTTTTTCTTCAAAATTAACGCATTTCTTTCGTTTTTTTTAAAGTATTTTTTATGTTTAATTAAAAATTCCTTTAAAAACACTCGTGCGGCAAGTGGTTAATCTTTCCTAAGTACATTCACACACTACAGCATTATATCAATAGAAATTTTAATGGTATTAATAATAACAATAACCATAATTAGGTTAATACTGTATGCATGAGTTTTATAGTAATCTATTTATTATATAAATTAAAATTTAAATACTATAGTTCTGATTCTAGTTCTGAAAAATGAACTAGAATTACATAAAAGACTTTACCAGTAAGAGCTTGTGTATCTTCTTCCTGAACAATTGTTTCAACTTCAGGACCATAAACTTCTTCCGCTGTTGGGTAATACTTTTTGTCCTCATGCAATACAACCTGCATTTGAGGTACTTCATCTTCATCTCTTCCTTCTTCCATAACTTCCTCCTGCAGTAAACAAAAAGTTTTATTACTATTTTTTAAATAAAACATTGTAACTGTAAAGACTGATTAACTGACTGATTTCTTAATAAAACACATTAACATACAAACTATACGACCAGCCTCATTGTAGGTTCATCTAATCGTTAACAATTAATTGACTGTGTTAAGATGTCAAAGTTTTATGCAGGTGGTTTGTTATTTGTTCTACTATGGTTGAAATTCTACACAAGATTGTCTTTTTATTTTACTAGGTTGGTATGCAACCATCCACACTGTAGCCTTTAACATTTAACTGTGATAATCTGTTAACACATTTGAATAATGGTTGGAACTGGTGGCAAGTCTTTTATGTGTTGTGAATTGCTCTACATCATTCGCATTCAATCCACTTCTTAATTCTTACATTCATGCATAATCAATATAATTAAGTGCAAAACTGTATTTTAAGTTTTCAAGATATTCACCAACAGAATGAACTGTTAATGTGAGACCACCATACATAGATCACGGGTGAGGAACCTGCAGTCTTTTATTGGCTATAGTGTAGCCTCAAAATATAAAATGATAAAATTCATGACAAAAAAGAATTAAACTTATTAGTTATGAAAATAAAAGCATACAGTTTACATATATTATTGGTTTATGTATATTAAATATGCACACTTATGCAACCTGCAGTATATCATATGGCCTTACAAATTCCTTTCAAAACAGGATGTGATCTTCCAATTAAAAAGGTTCCCCATCTCTGGACTATATGCTATATGTGCTGTAATGCACAGTTTCACTTTCTATGGGCATTGAATGATTTGATTGATAACAATGAGTCAAAAGAAGATTCAATCTCACAATTTCAACGTTCAAAGTACATTATCTGAATTGATGTCAATAATATAATGTAACTAGCAGATAAGCCCGGCGTTGCTTGGGCAAAAAGTAACAATAGCAAAGATTAAGATTATTACCTTACAGCCAATCTTATCCGTTTTCACAGAATGCAAGAATTAGGTTTCCCTGTTTCCAGACTAATTAGAAAATTTTCAGATGAGTCTAAAATTATGTTCAATTTAACGCAAAAAAATCGCATCTGCGCCTGTAAATCTTGTACGTTGCTTTCTCTTAACACTTCCATTGTTGAAGCCTTAATCCTGTCACTTTCCCCGTGGGGGGTTCAAAATTTCCTTGTTAGTGTGCATTCTCGTGACGTACCCTAAAGCCGGATGCATACATGTGGCGCGGCAAGATGAAGTCACTTTTTCTCGCTGCAGAAGTTGATTTTGTTCCACTTTTCTCGTGCTGCAAAAGTTGGTTGAATTTTATCTTTTGCAGCAACCACCGCCAAGACACATTTCTATCAGCCAATAACAGTTCATCTGGTAGTCACGTGAGAAAATACAATCACATGGTGTTTTAATGGCAAAAAGTTTGACGCAGTTAACCGAGATAACTAACATCAGAATAAAGAGGAAAGATAATAAATTTAACACAAATTTTATACAAATAATCATATATAATTTAATTCAAAAAACAAAACAACTAAATCTTACTCGAAATAATATTCTTTATCGAGGAATAAGCGTATTTTGTACACCAGTTATTTATCAAACCAAAAAAATATCTCTAATCCAAAATCTTCATTCGAAACTTCGACAAAATTTTCTAACTAAATAAAGCAAGCCATACAAAACAAAATTTGCAAACACGTGGATAGTGACAATATCGGTGTCGTTTGCCATTTTGAATACTGAACGCATGCGCTGAAATGTAAGCAGATTGCCGCCACACGGCGAAGATGCATTTGTGACACCACTTTTCCTTGCCGCGCCGCATGTGTGCATCTGGCTTAACTGTGTACCAAATTTCAAGTTTTAACTCCTAACCATGCTGAAATGCTCGTATACACACACGCCATCTATCGTAGGATAAATGTACTATGCCAGAAACCTTCACAGGAGTGTATTAAAAAACTTCCCAAAGTTTCATGGCAATCAGATAAATGGTGTAGTAATGCATGAAGGACAGACGGACAGACAGACAGACATACATTCATTTTAATATATATAGAGATTAATATATATCTCATTGCTTTTAATGTGTTTTTCAAAAATATTTTTATAACTGGTAAATAACTAAAACTTTTTCATTAAAAAATTAAGGATTTTAATACTTAGCTAGCTTAAATGGTAGCTTTAGTCAGTCAACTAAATTAAAATAAATAAATGCCAAAAGGGACAAGGAGTATGTTTCATGTATATTAAACATATTTTGAGACAGAATCTTTCTTATTTTCTGAACCTGAATTTTAAAAATAATATATGCTATTATTCAACATGTTATTCTTAGGATTAAAGATCTGAAGATGAAAGATTTAATCTCAAAAAGCATTTAATCCATGTAAACACATTGATACCTTGCATGGGAAGAGTGCATGAATGCTCTTTTAATCAGAGCTATAAAGGCTGAAACCTTGAAATAGTATAGATCAGCGTTTCTCAAAGTAAGCAATAACGCCCCCTCCATAATCAGGTTAATACTGTATGCATGAGTTTTATAGTAATCTATTTATTATATAAATTAAAATTTAAATACTATAGTTCTGATTCTAGTTCTGAAAAATGAACTAGAATTACATAAAAGACTTTACCAGTAAGAGCTTGTGTATCTTCTTCCTGAACAATTGTTTCAACTTCAGGACCATAAACTTCTNTTAAAAACTAAAATTTATTTGTTTGTAAGCTTAAAATAGATTTTTATTAACCATATATTATTTAAAATGCTTTCCTAGTGATAAGTAGATTCGGAGACAGGTAGATTCGACTTACGTCGTTTTCCTGGAACCAATTACCGACGTAAGGCGAGGTATACCTGTATATATATTTTTTAACATATTTTTAATGATTTTCACATTATATTTTACCTGAGCAAACAATTTATAAATTGGTTCTAAAATGAATTCTACAAAACTCCTTTGCACTGTACTGTGAGGTGGTTTCTTAGTGAATTTTCTCCTGCAAGAAGCTAGTTTGTTATTTTGTAAAACATAAATTATTAAGTTTATATAAAAATATGGAAATTTGCTCACGTTTTACTATTAAAATAGATATCTCCCCATAATCTTCGTGCAAATTCGCTCGCATTAATACCTCCATAAGCCTGAGAGTAGAGTTGGGCGAAGGATCGTAAAGTAAAGCACATACTAAACTGTGAACTAGCAAAACACACATTTCCTAATAGTGGTGAAATCACTGGATGATCACTTTCGTCTGAATACATACTGAAATAATAATAATAACCGTTTGATCTTGAATTAATAGAGAAATAAAAATCCATGCTACGTTTATTTGGTATGTTATATTATGTTTATAAGCTTGCATAAATGTATATGTGCACCAAAAATATAAATAAGTGTTTCTTAAAACAATGTCTTTGTTTTAAACATTTTAATTTAATTTAAATGATTTTATGCTTTTAATCTACACTTTAATGTGTGTTTTAATAAAAGGTAAATATTACAAGAAGCTTTTCTTTTTAATTTGCAAAATACGAGTATAATATGCTTCTTTTTCTTTTAAAAACTCAAGGATCCCTGTCAACATATTTGCAGATTCAGGGGGATCTGCGGATCACACACTGTTGAGAAATCTGTTATCTGAATTATCTCAAATATCTAAATATGAAAATTTATACTGTTCGGCACTATACACTATTCAAAATTTTTGGTTTTCAGATGATGCTTTCAATAATATCAGATAAAGAAAGCAATTAAGCATCTCAGAATGAATAGATTGATGGGAGAAGGCAATGCAACACTTGGACAATCTGCCAAGGAGAGATGCCTCCCAGAAAGACTTTCTATAAGAAACTGACCCTATTTAGGTGTTAAATCCGTGAAAACCTTTTAATCTGAAATATTTTTGTTAACTTATGACTTTAGTATTGCATGGCAAATTGTATGGTAGGCCTATTTAATTATATTTTTGATTTAATTTGAATTTTTCAAACTAGTAATTGGTTCATAAATTATGGTTTTATTTTGTGTGTAATAATTTTTGGGAAAATTTTGGGTTCTGAAAATATTCTATACCACTTTTGCAAGTTGCCACATTACTTCTTGTTGCTACACTTGGTCAACCATATTGTGAGCAAAAAAATTCAACATGGTAGCCAAGAAAACAAATTCTGTTTTTTTCCTGACTTTTTGACAAATTCTCTGACTTTCCAGGTGGGTAGGAATCCTGTATATAGTTAATTAACTTACAAGGAGACAGCCAGATGTTCATTCTCTGATACAAATGAAACTTGTAGCCCTAAACTCTGATTCTCTGGTGAAACTCTGATTCAAACAAAACATCTATGCTAGTGTCTTATCCACTCAGCTATATCAATTATGAGAATTGAACCTTCCAAAGACTTATACTCAATTTTCAGAAGCCAATTTTTATGCTTCCTATTATTTGGATAAGGATCTGTTTGTTTATAGGGCTACATGCTTACCAAGTTTTGTTTGAATCAGAGAGTGAACATCTAGCTGTCTCCTCTTCAGTTAATTTATACCTGGCAATGAAAATTAGAAATATGAGTTGTTTCCAGCATATTGGAGTTAGCTTGGAGTAACATTTTAAATTTTCTAATTTATGAAGTATAGATCTTTGTTTAAAGTAGGCAATTAATTAATTAAACAATTTGAATTAATACTTGAAAAATATTTATTATTGTTAGATATATTACTTAATCCAGTAGAAAAGTGAATGAATATAACTCATAAAATTTATCAAATAATTCTAATTAATGCTTCATTACAATTAAGGATTTAGTTACATTGATAAAATTCGGTCATGTTAAATTTACCTCAATAATCCATTAATTTCTTCAACAATATGTCTTAATTTATAATATGCATCTTGAGGAGGCAATTTTAATTCCATCATCAGTCTATCTATCTTGTTAATGCAGATAGTAATGGCGAGACGTTCTTGAACAGCATGTTTCAGTAGTCTTTCGGTATTTAGCATTACCTAATGGCGATTATTATTAATTTAATCTTAATTAAAAGTATTGTAACTAATCACATTAAATATACTTATTTTAATACTTACTCCTTCTGCAGCATCAACAAACAGAACTATTCCATCACACAATCTAATAGCAGCAGTAACTTCGTCAGAAAAATTAACATGTCCTATAATATTTTAGATGACATAAGAACAGGAGTTTATAAACTTATTTGAGAATAATATAATTTCAAATACTATACCGGGTGTATCAAACACATTCATTAAATATGATTTCCCTTTTAAATCTTGCAGAACAAAAGTAATTGGTGTGGCTTTGATGCTAACACCTCTCTAAAATAATAATAATAATAATAATACTTAATCATTATTTAAAAAGTCCATCTAGGCAATTACACTAATCTTTACGTGAAATTACCTCCTGTTCTGTATAAAGAGTATCTGTATATCTCAACTATAATGAAAAAACAAATACACCATTGAAGACAAATGTAACAATTTTAATTCACAACCTATGAGGTACAACAGACTTACCCGTTTTCCTTCTCTCGTTCTCAGATCTGGATGTGTTTGTTCAATTAAACAATCCACAAATGATGTCTACAAATGCAAAGAAAATAATAATAAGTTTGGCTACATACCTTCTTGATATTTATCATATTTAATTTTCTAAAATTTATATTAACTAAAAGAAAATAAAATTTAAAATAAGAACTAATCTCTTTTTATGGTAAAATACATATCGTCTATCATCATTTTTAAGATTTTATGAAGAAGAAAACACTTACTTTCCCGTGATGAAGGTGACCAACTAATGCAACATTTCTTATCAGGTTAGAATTATCCATTAAATCAGCAAGAAATCTGAAATGATATACGTATATAAACAATATTTTAATGTGTTTCAAATTATAATTTTATTGAAATTATTAGAAATTAATGAACTGTATTAATGAATGAAGCAAAGAAAACTGCTTTGCTTTATTACAAGTTCGTTCAAATTACAATGCAATGCTATTATATGCATAAAATTACACTTGAATTTGAACACATGTCTGTAGAAATCAAACTTAACTATATTTGAATTTTAAAAATTATTCTACATCAAGAATAAATAAAAACTAATAATTTTAGAATTAAAAACTTTGTGCATATCATATTCTTGATTTTAAAAAATAAAATGCAGTGATTTTAAATAACAGCAAAATCACTTCATCTTCCTATCTGTTCAATAATTTCAGAATTTAAAGCAGAACATCGAATTGAACAATTGGAAGCAGTCAGTCTAATGTTCTACTTTTTACACAGTTTATCACTAAATGTTTTTAACTTCTTTAAATATAACCAAGATTAATTTACTATAGTATATTTGTCATATTTTTATTTCTATAATAAAAAAAACGTATCCTTTAATAGATCATTACCATCTACTAATTTTAAACAAAAATATTAAAAATTAAAAGCTAGTTAGCTTTCTTTCTTCAGTAACACATTGCACGAGGAACAGTTGATTTATGTATTTTTTATTAAAGGAAATGCAAAAAAACGCAACCTCATACTCAAAGATGATCCAAACTCTGCAGTAATCCTGTAAACTGATCACCAAGTCAATTACCCAACATACTCTCTAATGTCAATTGTAACTAACAATCAACCATTCTAAGGACTGAAGAAGGTTCATTAAGACCCATAATGCATTTCCTTTAATAAAAAATACATAAACCAACTGTTCCTTGTGTGATGTGTTACTGAAGAAAAAAATCCATTAGCTTTTAATTCTTTTTAAAGTCTATAAAAAACCAGTAACAGAAACCTAATTAAATTAAAAATTTAATTGAATATTTTGAAAAAAAAAATCAAAATTAAAAGAATATTTACATTTGGTTAATCAGATCATTGTGTACTATATTACTAGAGCCAGGGATTTGAACATTAAAAACAAAAAAAATAAAAAATACAATTAAGTTTTACTAGCAAAATGTATAATCATAGTAATACAATATAATCAAAGATACTATAGTAAATTCCATAAAACTTGTGAAGTCAAAAGCAATAACACCTTCTAGAGATCATTAATGATTATCGTTCTGCTTCTTTTTCAAAAATGGAGGTTAATTATTATCATTAATCTCGATAGTCAGCCTATCACTACAGGAGACCAGGATCAAATCCATGCAGTCAAAAAACTCCAAGAATTTTTTGGGGATGGTTTATCCAGATATGTCAAGCTCAGTGACTTGCTATCATTTCACTCCCATTGTGGTGCTGGCTGAACTCATGAGTATGAAAAACAGACCCTTTTAGTGTCCTTTGGGCACTAAGAGCTTGTTTTTCACATTCATGGTGTAAAGAAATATAATATATTTACATATACAGGGTGTAAAGCAAATTAAACCGACAAAATAAAATGGGTGGTGAAGGGGTCAAATATGGGAAATTTTGGTTATATGAACTGTACTTGCTACAGCCTATCTTACAAGGTACAGAGTCATAAACTTTTGGGAATGGTTGCTGCCCTATGGTAGACATACCAAACAAAGAAGCCTTATTGTTAAGCATTTGGTAAGGCTGTATGGAGTGCTGTTAATTCATACTGTTCTAAATACCATATAAAGTCTCCTGGTACTAGATAATTTTCAGGGCTTAAGCCTTGTATAGCAACTGATCATGTAGCATAGTCCAGATGTTAAGGCCGAGTTCACACTGCTGACAACAATGACAAAAACCTATGTTTTTATTGTTTGTTTTTTGTCTGTAAAATGTTAACACTAGTATTATTGCTCTTTCATCTTAGTTGTTCAAATGTTAGCAACGTTTGTCGTTGTCGTAACATTACTGGCCAATCGATGTAAACTTCCCACAATTCTTTCAACAAGATGGAGGAACTGTTAATCTCTTGAGTTGAAGAAAGAGGGCCTATGAAACTTAATAAATGATCTAAAGTATTTGAGGACGTAAAAATAATTTTAAAAATCATTTGATGTCTTTTAATTGTAATTCCTGGACAAAAACATGGGAATCGCCTTGTTTTTCTTTCAATATGAATGGTATGATTACCATAGACATTTTGATATTTTCCTTAACAAAAGTAATAAATTTTTCTGTCAGTGTAGAAAAATTAACATTTTACTCTGTATATTCGATTTTAAAACAGACACAAGTCCAGTCTAAAAGTGCAGAAAGCCATGGAATAACGCAAAGCCTAATGTAAATTGCTCATATTCTAAGACAAAAACTAAGGAACAATATGAATGCTTTAGTGATAAACAAGTATGACTAAAGACATACTGTCATTATCGTTTAGGATCTATGGTTGTTGTCAACAGTAGTATAAACATAGCCTAACATGATTTGTCCCAATAATGCAGGCAATAGCTATTGTGCTTACTAAAGACTGTTGCTCCACACAAAGAATCAATAATTGTTGAGTCATCAGTTCTTCTCAAGCGAATTTCTCCATTTCTCATAGTTAACATAATGAAATGTCATACAGGTTTTATACCCTTTCCACAATTGGACAGTAATAATTGAAGAAATAAAAATTAGAATGACATCTTAAAAAAAATACAATTATTGTTTGAAATGTACATTTTCTTCCATCTTCAATGATCTTACAGAAACATTGCACTTTAATAAAGATATTTCCCTTTGGATTTTTATTCTTTATTTATTAAAACTATTTGCCTGACTACCACCTTTTTATTGCTAATTGTACTTAAAATTTGACATGAAATTAAAATTAGGTTATCAATAAAGAAGTAACAACTAACAAACATTGTCTGTTGCAATTCCAATTTTCACTTTTCTAAGATATATCTAGTCACGTTTATTAAAGCGACACACCAGAAAACAAGGTGCATGACACTGAGGTAGGCTTCCTACATTACACTCATGCTATGAAAGGCAGCAAAGAAAACTTACAAGCCTGTACCTCACAAGGGGACTGTGACAAGACCCAGTTTGTAGGATGAAAACTGCTATCTATTTCATTTTGTCAGGTCTAATTTCTTAATACCCCGTATTGTATATCCTAAATAAAATTTAATTTATGTTCAAATCCAATCAAGTTATTTTTATAAGCAATTTTTCAAGTTGAAATGTACCGGTAATGATCCATTACAAAAAGTACAAAATGTCTTTAACAGGAAGAGAGCAAGTCCCCCTCTAATCTAGATTATGCAATAAATTAATTAAATTACATTCTTAAAACTTTACAAAATACCAGTGGTATTTGAATTTGGGTATCTGTCTGACTTTAAAGTCATTTCGCCTAACATTCAATGTTGCTATTTGTTATTTAGGCTATTGTAAATTGCAACATAGATATTTTGTTGTACCGTAATAAAATTTTAAATAAAATATGGCTAAGCATTGAAAATCTGGAGTAACTAAGGGTGAACCCTATCTGGATTTTCAAATATACATGTAAATTAGCATTTAAGTACCATAAATTCCAAATACACTAATTCTAGTTTGTGTGTTTCACAGTATAGGAACACTCACGAAGATTCATAATATAATTTACAGATTCACAATACTTAAAAAAAACAAGTGTAATCGTAATTTCAAATTTAAAAAATTACAAACACTGAATAAATGTTAGAACATCAATAATGCAAGGCCAAAATAACAACAACAACTGATTGTTTATGCTATTTCAACCATTATCATTGAAAGAATCAATATCCATTTTTTGACAGCTGAATCCTGAAGTTTTATGCTCTAAATTTTCCAACACTATACTTTTATTTACCCACTACACTTTTATTATTCAAATAATTCACTGTATATAAATAAATGTTGGCATAAAAATTGACTAGTTTCTTCAATAAAACACTAAACAAATTCACAAAACTTACTCTAAATCGTATGTTGTATTGGGTAGATCCTGTTCGATGTGTGAAAATTTCTTTGATTTGATCGGAGCAATAATTGGCTCTGGAATAAAAGTAAAATTAATAGTCAAATCTTTTCATTTATTTTGAATTTTAGTCATTAATTTAAAACCTCTTAACGCCCAGTCCCAAGTTAACTTGGGCATGTTACATAGCGTTACAGAAAATGCGGTCCTTTTGGCCCCCCAAAAAAAATTTTTTTTTATTTTTGGAATGTTTTTTAAGTCTCCAAATTTTTTCAAAAATTTTTACCCGTGCAAAAAAATTTTATCGCGATTTTAATTAGCCTTTGATAAGGCTCGATTAAGGCTTAATTGTTTTTTAATGGGATTTTTTTTATCAAATTTAATTAATCGTTCTAAAGTTGTAGTGCACGAATTTTCCTTCGGTAAAGTTATTTAAAGCTACTTTCTGATGTCAAAAACGACCTCCAATAGTTTTTTAATTTTTTTAATTAATAGATTTTATTATATATTAATTTAATTAATTAGGGGGGTCAGAAATTGCAATTAAAATCTTAATTTTTTAAAAATATTAAAAAATATCCCTGTCGGTCATATTCACCCTACTTTAAACCCTTCTCCTCCCGAGACGTCTATGAGAATGTCCCGGGAAATACCACACCAGCTGTTCTCAAGGTCATCCAGCTGTGTAAACAATGACTCATTGGTGTCAAATTTCGCAGAAAGGCGAGACAATGGAAAATAAAGTTTGAAGCTTTTTCTTCAAAATTAACGCATTTCTTTCGTTTTTTTTAAAGTATTTTTTATGTTTAATTAAAAATTCCTTTAAAAACACTCGTGCGGCAAGTGGTTAATCTTTCCTAAGTACATTCACACACTACAGCATTATATCAATAGAAATTTTAATGGTATTAATAATAACAATAACCATAATTAGGTTAATACTGTATGCATGAGTTTTATAGTAATCTATTTATTATATAAATTAAAATTTAAATACTATAGTTCTGATTCTAGTTCTGAAAAATGAACTAGAATTACATAAAAGACTTTACCAGTAAGAGCTTGTGTATCTTCTTCCTGAACAATTGTTTCAACTTCAGGACCATAAACTTCTTCCGCTGTTGGGTAATACTTTTTGTCCTCATGCAATACAACCTGCATTTGAGGTACTTCATCTTCATCTCTTCCTTCTTCCATAACTTCCTCCTGCAGTAAACAAAAAGTTTTATTACTATTTTTTAAATAAAACATTGTAACTGTAAAGACTGATTAACTGACTGATTTCTTAATAAAACACATTAACATACAAACTATACGACCAGCCTCATTGTAGGTTCATCTAATCGTTAACAATTAATTGACTGTGTTAAGATGTCAAAGTTTTATGCAGGTGGTTTGTTATTTGTTCTACTATGGTTGAAATTCTACACAAGATTGTCTTTTTATTTTACTAGGTTGGTATGCAACCATCCACACTGTAGCCTTTAACATTTAACTGTGATAATCTGTTAACACATTTGAATAATGGTTGGAACTGGTGGCAAGTCTTTTATGTGTTGTGAATTGCTCTACATCATTCGCATTCAATCCACTTCTTAATTCTTACATTCATGCATAATCAATATAATTAAGTGCAAAACTGTATTTTAAGTTTTCAAGATATTCACCAACAGAATGAACTGTTAATGTGAGACCACCATACATAGATCACGGGTGAGGAACCTGCAGTCTTTTATTGGCTATAGTGTAGCCTCAAAATATAAAATGATAAAATTCATGACAAAAAAGAATTAAACTTATTAGTTATGAAAATAAAAGCATACAGTTTACATATATTATTGGTTTATGTATATTAAATATGCACACTTATGCAACCTGCAGTATATCATATGGCCTTACAAATTCCTTTCAAAACAGGATGTGATCTTCCAATTAAAAAGGTTCCCCATCTCTGGACTATATGCTATATGTGCTGTAATGCACAGTTTCACTTTCTATGGGCATTGAATGATTTGATTGATAACAATGAGTCAAAAGAAGATTCAATCTCACAATTTCAACGTTCAAAGTACATTATCTGAATTGATGTCAATAATATAATGTAACTAGCAGATAAGCCCGGCGTTGCTTGGGCAAAAAGTAACAATAGCAAAGATTAAGATTATTACCTTACAGCCAATCTTATCCGTTTTCACAGAATGCAAGAATTAGGTTTCCCTGTTTCCAGACTAATTAGAAAATTTTCAGATGAGTCTAAAATTATGTTCAATTTAACGCAAAAAAATCGCATCTGCGCCTGTAAATCTTGTACGTTGCTTTCTCTTAACACTTCCATTGTTGAAGCCTTAATCCTGTCACTTTCCCCGTGGGGGGTTCAAAATTTCCTTGTTAGTGTGCATTCTCGTGACGTACCCTAAAGCCGGATGCATACATGTGGCGCGGCAAGATGAAGTCACTTTTTCTCGCTGCAGAAGTTGATTTTGTTCCACTTTTCTCGTGCTGCAAAAGTTGGTTGAATTTTATCTTTTGCAGCAACCACCGCCAAGACACATTTCTATCAGCCAATAACAGTTCATCTGGTAGTCACGTGAGAAAATACAATCACATGGTGTTTTAATGGCAAAAAGTTTGACGCAGTTAACCGAGATAACTAACATCAGAATAAAGAGGAAAGATAATAAATTTAACACAAATTTTATACAAATAATCATATATAATTTAATTCAAAAAACAAAACAACTAAATCTTACTCGAAATAATATTCTTTATCGAGGAATAAGCGTATTTTGTACACCAGTTATTTATCAAACCAAGAAAATATCTCTAATCCAAAATCTTCATTCGAAACTTCGACAAAATTTTCTAACTAAATAAAGCAAGCCATACAAAACAAAATTTGCAAACACGTGGATAGTGACAATATCGGTGTCGTTTGCCATTTTGAATACTGAACGCATGCGCTGAAATGTAAGCAGATTGCCGCCACACGGCGAAGATGCATTTGTGACACCACTTTTCCTTGCCGCGCCGCATGTGTGCATCTGGCTTAACTGTGTACCAAATTTCAAGTTTTAACTCCTAACCATGCTGAAATGCTCGTATACACACACGCCATCTATCGTAGGATAAATGTACTATGCCAGAAACCTTCACAGGAGTGTATTAAAAAACTTCCCAAAGTTTCATGGCAATCAGATAAATGGTGTAGTAATGCATGAAGGACAGACGGGCAGACTGACAGACATACATTCATTTTAATATATATAGAGATTAATATATATCTCATTGCTTTTAATGTGTTTTTCAAAAATATTTTTATAACTGGTAAATAACTAAAACTTTTTCATTAAAAAATTAAGGATTTTAATACTTAGCTAGCTTGAATGGTAGCTTTAGTCAGTCAACTAAATTAAAATAAATAAATGCCAAAAGGGACAAGGAGTATGTTTCATGTATATTAAACATATTTTGAGACAGAATCTTTCTTATTTTCTGAACCTGAATTTTAAAAATAATATATGCTATTATTCAACATGTTATTCTTAGGATTAAAGATCTGAAGATGAAAGATTTAATCTCAAAAAGCATTTAATCCATGTAAACACATTGATACCTTGCATGGGAAGAATGCATGAATGCTCTTTTAATCAGAGCTATAAAGGCTGAAACCTTGAAATAGTATAGATCAGCGTTTCTCAAAGTGGGCGATAACGCCCCCTTGTGGGCGCTGGAGGCTTTCAGGGGGGCAGTAGAAGGCTCAAAGAGAATTGGGGGACGTTAAGGAAATATAGAGGGGTGACGGCAGACAAATTCTATATATAAAAATTCGACGGAATATATATAAAATGTTGACATTTTATATATTTTTTATTTTTTATTGAAGGTCACAACTTGAATATTTCTAACACATTGACTTTTATTTTAGCTCAGCGTTTCTCAAAGTAAGCAATAACGCCCCCTTCTGGCGCGATGAATAGATCTATGATAGAGGCAGGGTATTGAACGGTGACCAAAGGCAAAATTGGGGCTGATAAGAGGAAACATTGCGTTTAATGGTTTCCAGATGATGAGAACAATGTACAGTAAGGGCACAAAGTGTGAGATTCATAGAAAAGTTTTCCTAAGAATATTTCCAATCCTTTTCTCACACAAGAGAAAATGGGTTAGGGGGCGTTGGGTATAACTTTATGGAACAAAGGGGGCGGTGGATCGAAAAAGTTTGAGAATCACTGGTATAGATCATAAGACTCCACTGGAATAAATAATGGGTTCTACAATGGTTTTTGGAATACAGTGGTAGGAATGCTGCCATTCAATTTTAATTAAAATTTCCAGAAAGTGATGAGCCATGAAGGGATTTTCTAGTTCAATACAGACACAAAGGCCATAAGGATTGTAACTTATAGCTGTCAAGAATTGTAGACCAGGTTTCCAGTGCCACATTATGAGTACATCATCAATATACCTTGTTTATAAAACAATATTGGTTTCAAACAATGAAAGAATGTTGTTTTCTAATTGCCATAGCACAAGTTTGCAAGGGGGGGTCTGATATTGGGCTTCCCATTTGAACACCACTGCCTTATATGTTTCTCTTTCATATTATAAGAATGAGAAGTGCCAGACAATATCTGTTAGCTCGAGGATGTAAGAATGGAGTTTGCCAGGGTCTTGAAGATGGTTAGACAGGAAATTTCATAACTCACAAATGCACATCTCAATCTTTGACATGTAAAGTGAGTAACAGAGTGAAAGAACATGATTCCTTGCAACTTTTAGATTAATTTACTTTAATTTATTTAATATTATAGTTGTTGTAAAGTATATTAAATCATTAATGTGAGTCAAAATATCATGACATTATAAATTATCTTGTAAAATGACATTTACAAGTTATTTAATAAAACAGTACAAATACAGTGGAATCCCTTATTATGATCACTTTAGGACTTGCAATTTTTAATATAACTTTACACATTTATATATGCTATATTTCTTCTAAACAACTGTTTTTGTAAACAATGGTAAAATTTATTTGAAAAACTTATCAAGTGTTGTCTGTCATTTGTTTGCATTTATTAGCTCCTGAACATAATTCTCTTAGTCATGATGCTTTTCAAAGTTTGTTGCTCTATACTGCACAACATGATTTGTAAAGCTTCTTGAATCTAGGCATTAGTCGGAGAAACTTCTGAAATTTCTTCTCTGTAAATAGGTCATTAGTTCCTAACAAATCAACACTTTTTTCTTCAACCTGAAGATATTTATACATGACATTCTCTTGCTTTTTCCACTTGTTGAACCATCCATCAGTTAGAATGAAATTTTTGCTCATAGTTTTTGCTAGTTCTGTTTTTTTTTTTTTTTACACAGATGCATTCTTTTCATGAATATTACTAAACCAAATTTTTAATGCCAACCCAACTATCCTTTCCAGATTGTTCTCTCTTCCAATCCACATAGAAACATAGATCAAACATAGAAATTTCTTTGTTTTCTCATTAGAAAGAAAAAGATTTTTTTGTTTGATCTGATTTTTAAGATCTTACACAAGATTAGTTGTGAAATTTTTAAATGCATGGCCACACTATATTGACTCATTTTGTATAACTAATTGTAGCATTCTAAAATTCTATTATTTTCTTGAAGAGAGAAATCTCTATGCTTTGGCTATGCTTCTGTCATGTTCCGCAGGGTTTTATCGAGCACTTTTTACAGTCTTCTTAACTCAACATATCACAAAATTAAGCTAGTGAAATTGCAACAGGAATGTTTATCCTTAATGGTTTACTTCAGGAAAAGATCTACAGTACAGGTATTTTCTAATAATTTTTGTCATGCACTTACAGTATGTAAAAGATAGCAGGTATGCTTTGGTTAAAAGTTTTGAATAAATGGTCCATTTAGTATGCATTTTCTAAGAATACTTATCATTTATACCAAAGAGTAATTATAACAATTGATAACAACAGCTGAAGTTCGATTATACTAGGTAGATTACTTTTAACTAATTTTATATAGTGTTTTGGGATCAATTAATTATAGCTTTAGTAGACTGATAACATCACCTGTGATTATAATAACTGGATTCCACTGTATTACCTTTCAATAAGAGCATTATCTCAACACATTGTTTAACAGACTATAATTCATATAAATACTAGATAGTTTTCCATCATATGTGATGAGGAACTACATAATTAATG